CAGGAGGAGACCAGTGAGATTTAAACTCACAAACTAATCTAAGTGCAGTTACACTGACCCTAAGACACAAGTAAGTTATAGCAACGCCCACAATGAATGTTCAACAATTTACTAGTTGTATGGTAGCCAGTGTGTTACATCTTAACAACATATTTATGATGCTGTGGAGCAAGGGCTGTAATCAGCCTCACCTAGCAGCAGAGACACTGACTGTGGATAAAGACTGACCTAATTTCGTCCGTCTGTCTGTCTGTCTGTCTGTCTGTCTGTCTGTCTGTCTGTCTGTCTGTCTGTCTGTCTGTCTGTCTGTCTGTCTGTCTGTCTGTCTGTCTGTCTGTCTGTCTGTCTGTCTGTCTGTCTGTCTGTCTGTCTGTCTGTCTGTCTGTCTGTCTGTCTGTCTGTCTGTCTGTCTGTCTGTCTGTCTGTCTGTCTAATGGCTACAGGCATTCAAATGAAGTGGTATTACTCCCAGAAACAGAAACAGAAACAGAGTATATGCAATCACCCCCAAAATCCACTTCTCTCCATAACTTACTAGGATGACACATGCAGGTAAACGCTCATACACAGGAAAATAATTAATAAATAAAATGTTAACAAATGAAGATCTTTCAATGAGGTAATAATGCAAACAGGTTTAAATGAAGTATGTTCTAAGCCTTCAACATTTTGCATTATGTTTCAGTTTTTGTTCATCAAAACTAATTAGAACAAAGTAGAAAGACACATGTGTATACAGCTGCCATAATTAAACCCATTTGGTGCATGGTAACTTGAAAAGTAAAAAATGTTAAAAAAGTTTTTACAAACCTTATTAAGTGTCACTATTAAAAAGTTGAATTATATTGCCTCCTAGTGTACAGTTAACGCACCCAAAGAAACAGAAACTAACTGAAACTTTTAAACTTACAATTAAAATTGTACTTTGTTGTAACAGTTATGTCGGGGAGTGTCATCCGGCCGGCCAGCCTTAGTATTTTTCTATACAGGCCATAACAAGTAAGATGAACACAACACTGTGAGCTGTAACAGTGTAAAACCACACTAGCCATGAAACAGAACATTAACCAGTTCCTAAGAAGTGGTGTCTGAGCATTTATGTACAGATGGTGACATGTGGAACTTCTAAATGGTTGCTAGGTCTGACTATAATAGAATATCCCTCTCCTACATGTAAATCATCAAGGAAACTCAAAGGAGTATAAAGAAATAGTTGCATCATGACAACTTATCCATTCTCCCTCCAACTTTTTTATGAAAATAAGGAGGAGTAATACCTTGTTCAATTACAAATGCATTTAAGAAAAAATGCTAGTTGTCAAAGGAAAAGGAAAAATAAGTTGTAAAACAGCAAAAGAAGACTTTATGTTCTGGTAGTAGTGGGACAAACATATGGATTAGAACTTTGTTGACTATATCATTCAAATAATAATAAACACCAATAGTAATGTTTATTAATAATAAATGCGTATTAATAGTGATTATTTTACATATTTTAATAATGATACATATTTAATTAACAATGGTGTTTATTAACTGTTCTTTGATTTATCTTGTGGGGTTAGGGTTGCAGGTTACTGGTAGAGTGTTTGCCTAGTACAAAGCCTAGACTCTGGGTTTCATTTCTAACAAGCACACCTGCTCAATATTTTCTTAGCCGTTCCAATTCAATACTCTTGTTATTTATCCTGACATTTGACTTCTGTTGTGTTGTGTTGTGTTGTTTTTTGTTTGGGTATGTGTTTTTTTTTGTTTGTTTTGTTTTTTATTTTCTTATAATGCATTGCTGCCCTGCTTTCCTTCAGGGATCTGTTTTCTCATCCATGAAATACTGGGAGGGATACTGGATGTTAGAAGGGGTTAGGAAGTTTAAACTATAGAATTAAAACCCAGGTAAATGCAAATCCAAAGGAGACTAGGAGAACCACAGAGCTCAAGGTCAGAAGGATTGCTGGAGATACGGAAGGCCAAACACACTGATGCTGATCTGTCTGTTCTAAGATTATAATCCCAAACTTAGATTCACCTAACACTAAATCTTCAAAATACACAATCCTCCACTGACAGAGCTATACAGACATAAAAAAGCCCATTAACATTTGTTAATTGTTGTCTCAATGAGACAACAAATCAGGCAAACAAACTAGTTGGTAAGTTTAAAATATACTAAACAAACACATTATATCCCTTTGTCTTTCTCCCAAGGTATTTGCAGCACTTATTCTAGACCATGACCGACATGCCCAAAATAGAAAAGTGTCTACATTCTTTGAGTTGATGTAACTAATGATGGTAATTAGGAAATAGAATTGAACGATAATGAACATGGCATTAATAAAACTCTGTGTAATACAGTGAAGCAGGTATCACCCTGAGTGGTGCCTTTATTAAAAGGGACATGGTAAAAACAGTCCATATCAGTCCTGCCAGACGACCAATACAAACAATAAGCTTACCGCCACTGGGTCCTTCAGATGCAGTTGTGCAGCTGTTACTTGTCGAAACCCACCTGGGTAGCTGTTCAAAGGAGAAACATGTTCTTAAGCTGAACATCCTTTCATAATAACCAAATGATTCTAACAAGTTATGTCTCGCCTCTGGAAACTATTAAAAATTAAAACGTGTGTGTGTGTGCAAGCTATCCTGACTGCCACACAAGCATGTGTATGTACATGCACACACATACTTACAAGTACACATGCATACGTATACACACACTAAAAATAAATAAGTAAGCTATGCTGTTTAAAGAATATTCTCTATAACTATTTCACAGGTAGTTATCTCGGAAAATTCTTAGCATAATTATTTTCGTAAGAATTTTGTTGGCGCTGGAGAGATGGCTCAGCACTTAAGAGCACTGCCTGCTCTTCCAAAGGTCCTGAGTTCAATTCCCAGCCTCTGTAATGAGATTTGGTGCCCTCTTCTGGCTTGCAGACAGACATACAGGCCGAACACTGTACACATAAAAAATGTTATTCCTTCATTCATTTTCTTACCTGTTCCATTCTATCTAGGTTACCACATATTTATTTCAACAAAGAAATAGCAATGAGCCAGAATAACGTATGTTCCCTATCCAGTTAGGTTAACTGCATAATCTAGGTATGAGAACCTGGGAAAGTGGTGGCAGAGCACGTGGTCCTGAAGTCAAGTTCATGCTCTGCTGACACTGAGACGTGGTCTCATGGCTTGGGCTGGCCTACACCTCCTCACAGAGCGGAGGGTGATACTCAACCCCTGGTCGTCTATCCTCTGCTTCCCAAACACTGGGATTACAGGTGGGTACCAATAATCCAGCCAGTTCATTATACAGATAACTATGCTGTCCTAATAGTCAGTAAAGATCACTAGGAATTATGGGTTGGTTCCAGGCAATAAATTACCTATGTCCTAGTGCTCAGATCAAACAGCGGACTTAAGTGGACAAACTGGGATTGGCGTGGTATCCAGATCCAGACCTAGAAACCAGATGCTGTCAGCGGCTCCCAGATAGTGGCGAGACACTGGTTTTGTGTGTGTGTGTGAGGCAGTCTAATAGAAACTGTTATTTGCCCCACCTAATTTTACAAAACTGAGTCAAAGGAGAAAATGATATTTGTGAAATTATAAGAAACTGACAACAATACATAGTTATGAGGGCTTATTATCCTAAATAAAAGAAAAAAAAATTAAATGGCTTTTACAAAAAGAAAAAGCAAAAAGGGGAAAAGAGGACAGCCAGTGGATTCTAAGAGAAAAATTTAGGATTACTAAAATTTAAGTTACTTTCAAGAAATTCTGAAAACATTTTAAGATAATTAAGTAAGCCACACATTAGGGCTTTAACTTAAACATATTATATGCTTACTGAGAAAGATAGGTCATTTCCAAACTGCTACGACTTATTTGTTTCATGGAATTTCAGTTTTAGAAGAAGAAACACCCGTCTAGACGTCTATTCCTATAGTCTTTCCCTTCATGGAAAATTACTTTGTAATGTCTATGCTAAAGACTATCTTTCTATTTTTAACACTGGGCTGGCAAATTCTAAAGCATAATACCATTTATGCTATATTTCAGAACTTTGGACCTTCTCCTGAAGGACCTGGAAAGCTAATGAGAATCCCAAGCAGGGGATGACTTGAGCAATGTGATACGCAATTGATTCTCACCAGCGAAAGGCAACTACATTTCTTCCCTTTCTGAAATGCCCCGAGAGAGTAAGGCAATGTGATTGATATGACAGTCACGAGTCTCTCAAATAAATGAACTCAACATACACGCTCTAAGCGTCTGTTTGCTGCGTAGGAGGGTTGCATAGGTACATCAGACAGCATCCTGTCCTAAAGAGAGTGATGACATGACTTTTGACAGTCATGTCAAAACAGTTCAGTGAATTTAGACAAGGTAATTCAACATGAAAAAAAAAAATGAGAAGTCAATGCTCATAAATTATTTGTCCAGAAAGCCTTTTTGAGACAAGAAATCAAAAGAATTTCAATGGAAAAGCCATACTAAATTATATAAAAATTAAGTAACAATAAAGAACACCATAAAGTTCTTGAGAAACAAAAAATTTAACAACAGATTTAAATGCTTAATAGATTAAAAGCACATAAAAAAGGAAGCTGGGGGTGCAGCACAGTCCTACTGCCCAGCACCTGCAGACAGAGACTGGAGGATCAGAGGCCAGATTCAGTCACATATCAAGCTCAAGGCAGGTCTAGGCTTCATGAAAGTCTGTCTCAGAAAACTCCAAATAAATTATGCCCTTCCTCAGAATACACAAAGGTGATACGAAAGAGCAGAAACCTCACTATTAAGCAAGTGAAAATAACCAGATGTCCATAAAAAATACAGAACCTTATTAAGTTGTTTTTAATGTTATGGCCCCAGTCATCAAAAACCAGGTATAAGTCTACAATGGTAGAATGACTCTGGAAAGAACTGTGGTGATATATTGTTTATGATCTAATAAAGCTTGCCTGAAGATCAGAATGCAAAGCTAACCACAGCCATAGAGGCCAGGCAGGGTGGTGCACACCTTTAATCCCAGCACTAGAGAGGAATATAAGACTGGAGCTCAGGGTCTCATTCAGACTGCAGTCATGCTGAGGCGGATCACCCAGCCTTGATAGCGATCAGATCTCCCTAGTGGTTGGCTGCTTTGCTTTTCTGATCTTCAGCTTGAACCCCAATATCTGCCTTGGGTTTTTATTATTTGTACTACATGTTGGAGACCAACTTAAAGGTATGAATCACGAAAAAGTCTCTTGCCTGGGGCTTTGCAGCCATGGACTCCTTGTGCACTGTACCCAAATGCTCCATGTATATAAATGCATGCAGGTAATATCATGCATACACATAAAATTAAAAAAAGTGGAAGATCAACATTTATAACCATAACTTGGATGACTGTACAGAGGTATGTTTTAATTTTTCCTTTTATTTGAAACTCTAGATTAAGTCAATATAGATGGTAAAATCGGGATCTCAAAATAACGTGGTGGAGATAAAAGAAGAGACATAATTTAACAAGGACATGTGAGAAAAAAAATAAGAGTTTGGGCTGACAGTAAACGTTATGAACCACAAAATTGATATGTCTTTGAAGAAAATCTATTTTACAGTGAAAGATGGCCTAGCTGGAAAAATGGAGGAAAGAATCCCACTGTCCTTGAAAACCCACAGTATACTCAGTAAGTTCATTTACCAAAGACAGATGGTGACAGACAAGATGGGAGCTAGAGAAGAGTGATCATCCTTTACCCCCGTGGGAGACGTCCGTGTTCAGACGGTGCTGCAAACAGATGGAGTATAGGAAGGAGAAAGACTGATGTTGTGCTGGGTGGTAGCCTGTTTTTGTTCACTAAGCTGAACATGCAATATTAGTAAATTCAGTATTTCCTTACACGCTTTAAAAAAAAACAAAAAAAACCAACTCCCTTTTTCCTTTAAAATAAGGACAACCGTACTATTAAAGCCACACATCTGAACTGTGTTCCTTAGCATTTTCTTACCCAGTATGTGAGGAGTACACTTTTTGTTCCCACTTGTTTCCAGAAAATGCAATATGTCTTGTGTTTATTATGACAACATGATCTCCACAGTCACCTGGATTTCAAAAGACACAAGCGAGAAAGACTGTATGAAAACATCAAAGTCTTAAAAAACACGGCTTGCTTATTTAGTTAGCAAAGTGCAAACACCACATTGAAAAAGAAAAGGCACAGTGAAACACCACAGTCCTTGAGCACATTTGTTTCATTTGATACACCACGTAAGCACAGAAAGAGCTAGAGCTGGCGGGCCGTTTGGAAAATCCCAACCCTGGAAGGAAGGTACAAGAAACTTTTAAAAGATGACAATAATGACAACACATTCCTTAGAGGCACACGATTACTTTTCCTTTTATTTCTCCCAATGATAATGCTCCTGCTAAAACTTAAGCATTTCTATTACAGTTACCTTTAAGTAGATGATACAAGTGTTTCTTTACAAATAGCAAAGACAATGAAAACAATATGTACATCAAAGTACAAAGAGCGTTTTACCAATAGGCAAATTAGAAACAAATGTGAGAAATTACAATTGATTATCATTCTTTTCAGTTTTAGAGAACAATAGAACACTATGGCTTTATGCTGTAAGTACTTCCACAAGGCGTTTTCCAACCACAACTAACCAGTCAAATCTAGACTAGCTCTCTCAGCAATGACTGCAAACATCCTGAACAGGGCAGATGACCTGAAAACCACAATACACGTACTTTGTTAACTTCCTTAGGAAAAAGACCTTTAAGTTTGTGTCTATCTAGAAACAAACAAAAATGCCAATGTGCAAATTCTCACATGAGCCACCGTTCCTAATGTCACTAGCTAATCTGAAACATTAAATCACTATTCCACTAATCAGAAACAACAACAACCTTCCAAAAAAATAAGTATAAATTATTATACTACTATAAACTCCAAAATCACACGAAAAGGTTCTAGGGAAAGAATGAATTGGACCACAGAGTTTTCAGACAGGATCCTATTTTAGGACCTCGGGAGAAGGAAAGGAGATGAAGCAGTGATTTGCACTGCCAGTGTCAAAGGGGAAAGCGGCTAAAGCGAGCAACTGGAAAGCCTGCTGCTGATGGGCTGGAAGACAACGTCAGACAGCTTCTGCCTAATGAAACGACAAAAGCTCCTAAAAGTGGCACACGGTGGACAGAGAACCAGGAGCTCAGCTAAGGAGGCGGGAAATGTCCCAGAATGCCTCAGCATGGCAAGAGGACTCCAGCTTCAGACACTTCACAGCTACAGCAGCCCGGGCCTTTCGCGGTTAGGCGATTTACTGACACACATGGCTACCGAGTCAGGCTCAGCTGTGATACCCATTGAAGAACAAAACCGAATCTTTAAATTTTAAATATGTACAAAACATCTAGAGTCACTTAAAAATTTCACAAAAATCAAAAAGGTTCTTTTGAGGGCATTAAACACTACAAACAGGATAAAAACAAGGTCTTTCCCATCTAAGGTGTAGATTATTTTTCAATATGAAGTTATGTGTTTAAGTGAACTACAGATTAATACAAAAGCAACCACTGGTGGAAAAGACTATAGTCGTGATTATTGTGTGATTGCTTTTGTCTAAATTTGTTAATGAAATACAAATGTCTTCATTTAAAGATTTAAAAAGCTGTTACTTTGCTTGTGTGAAAGCAGGTACTTGTGTGCTCACACAGATGTCAGAGGACACTGCTCTGAAGGTGGTTCTCTCCTTCCATCTCTCTGTGCGTCACAGGAATTGAACTGAGGTTGCCAGACATGCTTAGCAAGCATTTCACTCACTGAGACACACACCAGCACAATTTTAAACTTTTAAGTAAAAAACGTACAGTTTCTGTCCATGTACTGAATGTAAATAAATCAGCATTCCTATGTTTCCACCAATAAGAAATGAATAGTACAACTTCTCCTTTGTTTTCACTCACTATCGCTATTTTATTATTTTGTTTAAAGCTCACAGTGGTTTTAATTTGCACCCCCCCTGCTGGCTTGCACTGGATTTCCACGTACCTGCCATCAGCCCATGGACCATTTCACTTTCTAATTAGGTTGTGACATTTAGTATTGTTTCAGCTGTTTACTAATCTCAGTTCTTTGTTAATTCTGTGGTTTTCTTCTGGTCTGTAGCTTGTTTCACCCCCTACTTTCACGAGCCCTACTTCATCTTTTTTCATTTTCAAGGAGCTTTTCTTTTTATTATTTTTTATATTCCAATCCCAGTTCCCCTCCCTCCTCTCCTCTCTACCCCGGCTCCCAATTTAAGCTGAACTTAAGAGCCTTAGGGTCAAGAGACTAAGGCCCGACTCTTTCCTTCATCCAGTGCAGCATTGTTTTTATATACTATAAGATAAGGTGGAAAAACCATTTAAAATTACTATTCAAAGCAATAAATAATGAAGGTTTGCACTGGCCTTTATGCTTACTTCCAATTTTCTATGGTCAAATTTGGAAAAACTCTTGTGAACATGATTTCTGGCATCTGAGCATGTGTATAGTCAGAGGCAGTGTGCGGCCATAAACACTGGCTGTCTGTGAAGACTGTGATTACACACCAAGAGTCCCTGTCATCTGCTCCTTGACCTACATCTCCTACAAAAATCAAATCTCAGAGTTATAGTACTAACCTAGCATGTCTGGGACTCAGGTTCAATCCCCAGCAAAACATCCACAACACCCACCCCCCATACAGGGTTGTGGGGGTAATAAAGCAAAATAATTTTTAAGTGGCAAGCCTGTTTGCCTGTTTCCTATAACATCTCGAAAGGCTCATCTGACAAATCAAGCATTTCAAATATTATTTACATTACTTTCTGATACCTTGTCAACTTTATAAGCCATTCCTAGAGGTCTGACTATTTGTTGTTTATTTTCCAAAAGAAATGTGTACAGTGATTATGAATACCTAATGCCTAGTTAACTGCTTAGTAGACTACTAAATGTCAGAAATAAACTTTTAAAAGACAATGCGTTTATCAGGCACTGGTGATTTAGAAATTTGATTATAGTGACATCTTGTGGTCATAAGAAGCTTTGCTGATGTAGTTAACATGTTCAACACACTCAGGCAAGCAGGCTACGGTATAATCTTTAAAAGGCCAAGTTTCTAACTTCTTAAGCCATTCTCTACTCTTAGGAAAGGGAGGCCTACAGGCAGTCATGACAGCTTTTCCGGTGTTCCAGGAGAATGTGTACTTATGGCACTTAAAGGACACATATGGAATGACTGCCCTTTAAAGAAAGAACTTACTGAGGACGCTGGTACCTGCTGTCCTTGGGGACAGAAATCAGGTGACTATGACTTGTTCATCTACCTCCAATTTCTTATCACTGCTCTTTCTACAAAGACAGCCTAAGTGAAGCTGTTGACTATTGACTCCATTCCTAAGGAGCAGGAACAGAGTGTTAATGGCCACACAGAAGACAATGGGTGTCTCCTCTGTGAGGAAGCAGGGGCCCAAGTTTCAGTCCCAAGTATACTAGGATGTAGCTGAAGTACAATGAGAACGTCACCATCTTCTTCCTTCACTTTCTCACCTACCTCTGGGGCAAGTCATAGAAACTGTACAGATTTGCAGGTCTATCAAGATGCATGGTTTTGGTGTGCCAATTCTTATTTTTTAAGAAAAAAATCATTAACTTTTAGGGAAAGTACAAAAGATGCTTGCTATTTCTTTCAAAATTCAGTTGATCTCATTATTCACAACTTCCTATTTGTAAGTTTCCTTAGTTGTTAGAACTTGAGTTGCCAGATACACACATTGCCTGCTGTGGCTATAGAAAGCAATGTTCTATTTCTTCTCTCGAGTGCAAACAGTGCCATTTGGAGGGTGTGGTAGTTTTTGCATTTGTAGTTTTTATTAAGTGCCTTAACCCCTCGACTCTGGTACTGGAATAAGGAGTACTCTTCCTGAGCACGGGCAGGCTGCGCAACATGGCTCTGAGAGACAACGTGTATTAGATAAGCTTAGTTCACAAATGAGTTATAAGGTACAGTGTTGGGGATCAAGAGCTCAGGGTTAAAGAATGCATGCAAGTATGTATGTAAGTATGTGTGTGTGTGTGTGTGTGTGTGTGTGTGTGTGTGTGTGTGTGTGTGTGAGTATGTGTGTGTGTGTGTGTGTGTGTATGTGTGTACGTAAAGATTTTTACAGAGATCCACACAAACAAGGTTAGACATTGAGTGGATGATAGAAATGACGAAATGGTGTGACATCATTTCCCCTTGAAACGCTGTGCAGTAATCCAGTTGTGACTCCAGAACCAAACTCCCAGGAAGAAGAGAGGCGACTGTTTATGAAGCATCCGATTGAAAGCGTCAGGCACAAGCTACCTCTGCTGGTAGCGGCCGCCTACTGCAGGAGGTGATCGAGCAGGGCAGCCCTTTACATCCATAGTCTACACACAGATTTCAGAGCATAGGTTTTTCTAACACTCTACTGAGAGTTTGTTACAGAAGGAAGATAAATAGGTTTAACAAACAAGAAAAATTACAAACCTGTGCTCTTAGATAAATTCAATCATTTGAATTCTTTTGCTCCAGCTCCATGGCAAAATTTAGCAGCTCAAATGTCAAGGCCTTAGATGAAAGTTTTTTGTTTTTTCCTTTTCATTTTCTTAACTAGTATTTATAAATGCAAACATCCATACAACAAACACTTTTTACATTCCCCTTAACATGGGTACTTAGAGCTCTTGTTTCTTTTTTACATTCAAGTCTAGTGAAGAAAGGTGGACAGAAAGTATGCTCATGTCAAGTGACACATAATGGCAAATTAATGATAAGAATGATAAAAAATGGCAAAGTAAAGGCTTAATGGGTGAATGGGCAACTAGACAGAGGGCTCAAGGAAGGCCTTGTTCAGGGCAGAAATGTCAAAGGACCCAAAGGAGTGAAGCTTGCAGGACTGGGGAAGAACACGCAGGCAGAGAAGAGAATGAAAGGGACCCAAGCAAAAATGTGCTTAGTCCAATCAAGGAGACAGCAGCAGGCCTTAGAGGATTGCTCAGAGGACAGATGGGATAATGTTAGAAGTTCAGGAGCCACAGACCTAAGTCCCAGAGGGGACATGCATAACAATTGCTTTTTATTCTGTAGTTTTGGAAAAGATAACTTAGCTTAGTCTGTGCAGGAACTATGTATGAGCCAGACAGTGTGGAGAACAACAGTTCAATAAAGAAGAGAGGGAGAGAGTGAAAAGCTGACAGGCTGCAGGAATGCTGCTTTCTAATTTTTAAATTAGGCATACTTATGCAGGGCATGGGAACTGAGAAAAGAGTCATGTAACTTAGAAATAGAGAAGGAGGAAACTGAGGACAGGCTGGTTTGGGTAGGGAAAATTCAGGAGTAAGATGTCTCTAATTGGGCTAATTTACTGAAGATAAATACTGGGTACCCAAGAGGACACGCTAAGCAGAAACTGGACACATGAGTGTAGCAGACATGTCAAAACTAGAGACAGGTATCTGGAAGGATTCGAACACACATAGTTTGTAGAGCCCTGAGACAGAAATCAGTCATTTAATGATAGAAAAGAGGTTCCGGGCTGGGCTATGGGATACATCCACTTTTTAGTGAGAGGAAATGTCTCGGTAAACAAAGTCTACCCAAAAAACGCCTACAAGCCTAACTCTTGTAAAATGAAAACAGGTTTATCATTTTAGAAAGAGCACACAGAAAGCAAATCTTTAATTCAATAGTAAAAGGCAACCTGCTGTGGACAATCCTTCTGTATACTGTAAATACGTATTGCTCTCATTGGTTTAATAAAGAAGCCGACTGGCTAATAGCTGAACAGGATAAGGTTAGGCAGGAGAGCCAGACGAGGAGAATGCTGGTAGGAAGAAGGGCCGAGTCAGAGCAGTCACCAGCCAGGCACAGAGGGAGCAGGAGATGAGCATGCTATGCTAATAAAGGCACCACCACATGGCAGAGTGCTAATAAGGAATACAGGTTAACTTAAAATGTAAGAGCTAGTTAGTCATAAGCCTGAGCTATTGGCTGAACATTTGTAATTAGTATTAAGCCTCTGAGTGATTATTCGAGAGCAGCTGCAGAACAGGAAAACCTTGCCTAAAGCAACCTACCATATTTAGCTAGCTCTATCTTTCTAGGGAAGAATTTTTAGAAAACAGGCAGGACTGCTGTTAAAAAAAAAAACAACTCTCTACTCAAAGCCATGTCACATGAGAAGAGATGGGTAAGAAGGGAATCCTAATTTACAGTGCAAGTCAGGACACTATTAGAGCTGAAGTAAGGGCTACTGGTGATTTACTGTTGGTAAGAGTGTTTTCTTTCAGTAAGTCAAATTCAGTTTAGCACTGGATGAGGACTGCCAAAAGGAAGAGAATACAGAATCCTCATATACCCACAGAAAGGGACCCTTAAACACAGTTCCATAAGCTTCACAAGTTCCTCTTCTGGAGTGTACACTATATCTGCTAATGAGGGGTCTACAACAGTACTTACTCAGCTGGTGGTACACTGGTTTATGTAGTCCTTGAAGCTTTTTTGATGCTATAGCTGCAAGTTTGCCAGGGGGCTGCATCTTGCCATCTAAGAGATACCATATTCGAGCAAAAGTGGCCCATTGCTTGAAAATAAAGAAAAAAGATGAAGAAAATCCTAGTTAGAATGGAAATAATTAAATACATTATCACATGCCATCGTCTGTATTCTACAATTAATGCCAACAATTACTTTGAAAAACAGACTATGACTAAAATGTATGTGTGTGTGCATTTTGTTTTCTTTACCAGCTCTAAAGTCTTCTCTCATTACTGTATAGAGATAGTAAGTGTATTTATACAGAAAGTTGGGTGGCTAGTTGTCAACTGAAGATAATTTAAGACCTCAGTTCTAAGAGAGTTAAACACAACTGCATGATCAGAAAAGCACAACTGAAATCCAACATTTCTATGTGTATGTGAGACACTGGGGATACTAGGCAAGCACTCCACAAAACTGAAACACATCACTAGCCCCGTTAATGCCTTTGAGTCAGTTCTGCTGAGTTACTCAGTTTGGCCGTGAACTCGCTCTGTACCCCACAAAGGCTTGAACTCACAACCCTCCCACTTCAGCCTCCAGAGTATCTGGTATTATAGGCTTGTCTTCAACAGACCTCTTTATGTCACCTGAGAAAAATCACGCTCTTCAATATCTCCAAACTAAGAAAATTATCTATCTCTATTCCGGAAAACTCTTGGCCAGGTGCTTTCATTATGCATATCTGCTAGAAAAATACAATTCAGCTTGGGGTTTCATATTAGTTATCCTAAACTTTAAGCTAGCCCATGCATACGCAAAGACAAGTTTCCCCCATCCCATGGAGACCAATCCTTAAAACAGTTTGACAAACAATACAAAAGCTGCCACAATGTCAACTTGCTGTCAAAGTTTAAAGACATTAATTTTCACATCCTGTATTTACCTCATTACAGACAGGCAGCAACCACACTTAAAGGAGCTGAACTTCGAGTGGCATTAGGCTAGGAGTCATCTTGGATTAACACACAAAAACCACAATTCCGTCTCTTCTCCCTAAAATCTGCTTCGGTTCCCGTGTTCCCTACACCACCGCCTTCCGGTTGCCCAAACCAGAATTCTTCGACGTCACTCTTGTTTCTTCTTTCGCCCACGTTCGATCCTTTAATACATACTGCGGGCTGTTCACCACTCCAGTGTTTTAGCCTCACTCGTGCATGAGCGTCTCGCATGGTATACTAGAATAGCAATCCAAACTCATTTCCTCCTTTTCTCCTTCACACACAGATCGACATCTGTGAACATCTTCCTTCTGGCAGCCTGGGTGCTAGGTCTTTTTAATGCCTAAGGCGTCCAGGTCAAAACCGCCAAACAACTCCCCATCCTTCAGTTCTTTTGCGACAAGTCTCACGTAGCGCAGGCCGACTTCAAGCTTGCAATGGAGCCGAGAAGGCTGACCCCGAACTTAGCATCTTCCTTCCTTCCTCCACCTCCCAAGTGCTGGAATAACAGGCGGGCTCCGTGGGGACGGAACCCAGATGCTAGACACACACTGTGCTCAACCACACGCAGCTCCACCCTCTCCCTTCCCCGCCAGACTCCACTGCAGCAGACAAAACTGACCAACTTTCAGCCGTTCCACTCACTGTCTCCCCGGAACGCTCCCAGGGCTGTGTGCGAGCAACGGCAGCCACGAAACGGGCAGCCGTAGCCAAGCACAGATGTCAAAGCGGTGGCCCGAGTCCCGACCCCCCACCCCCGGCCCGTGACTCCGCCAGGAGCTTCCGGGCCACGGGTGTCAGCCGCTTCTTCCCCGAAGGCTCAGCATCTGCACCGAGTCCCCGCGGAGACCGCCGCTCTGCACTCGGGCGAGCGCCCGGCGCACACCACCCCTCCGGAGGCGCGCGAGCTCACCTGCGGCGCCCTAGAGAAGCTGGACATGCTCCCCGACTTCCGGCGTCCCTTTCGCTTCCACTCGCCCGGTCGCCGTACCAGCGACCCCCCACGAGTCCGGCCGGAAACAAAGACAACGCAGCACGAGGGTTCCTACCGCGGGCGAGCGCTCGTCGGCTGCTTCTCCGCCACGCTCCGGCACCGCGCCTCCCGGAGCCCTTTCGTTACGAAACAGGGCCAAGGAGAGTGGCTTACCCAGAGCGTCGTTTCCCCGAGTCATCGGCGCGAAAAGCGCCCCGGGGACATCATTCCCGGCTGGATAGCGAGCCGGGCGGCGGGAAACCGGAAGTGCGCGCGGCGCGCGGCTCTTTGGAGCCCCAGAACTGGATGGAGTCTGGGCGCGAAGGACATGGATCGCTACTTGCTGCTCGTCACCTGGAGGGAAGGCACGCTTCCGTCGCCCGCAGGAGGGGACAGCGAACCCGGGACGGAGGCGGCGGCGTCCCCGGACTGCACCGAGAAGCAGCCTCGTAAGCTCCGGGCTGAGAAGAGGCGGGAAAGCGCGCGGGGAGCCCAGGGGATCGGAGTTTCTGAGGGGGTCCCCGGGGGTGGCAGGAGCGCGGGCCGGACGTCCGTCCCGGGACGCTGCCCTCCCTGAGGAAGTTTCCTCCGAGTTTCCAACAGTGTGGTCAGGAAGAAAGATAGGCTCACGTGTGGGTGGTGGATCCCAGTGCCCCAAGGGTTGGGCACACTGAGCTGGGGCATGACTAGAATTTCTGCCCTCTGGGCAGGTGTGTATTTAGGAAGTGTGTCTGTTCCACCTTGAAGAAAATGCAGAAAGACATAGATTCCACGGATCTCGGGTTACATTCTATGCAGGAGACACGCGGCACTTTTTCCTTTTTTTTTTTTTAAGATTTTATTTATTTATCATGCATACAGCATTCTGCTTCCATGCACACCAGAAGAGGGCACCAGATCTCCTAGCGGATGGTTGTGAGCCACCATGTGGTTGCTGGGAATTGAACTCAGGACCTCTGGAAGAGCAGTCAGTGCTCTTAACCTCTGAGCCATTCTCTCCGGCCCTTTTTCCTTTTTTTTTTTTTTTAAATTACAGATTTTTAAACGATTTTAGCTGCTTTTGATTACATTGCTTTTTGATGCCTCTGTCTAGTCTCGTTGCATTTTCCTCGTTTTGGTCAAGCAGATTTTTTTGTTTGTTTTTGAGGAAGAAATGTATATGGTTCATTTTGGCAGGAAGTCTTTGGTTTCTTGTTACTGACTAGCATGGACGAACCAGCAGCCTTGACTATTTTCTCTGCCTGCTGAAATTTAGTTCATCAGCACTTGAATAGAATCTTAGTCCACGCGTATTCTGTATCCAACATTCTGGCCTTCATTCAGGTCCTCTGATAGTGAAGTTGAAACAGGGCTAGATTCTGTTAACCCTTGAGCCCGCCGAGTAACATGACTGTGCTAGGCCCTTACTTTGGCAGACTTGACGGCATCCACTATTTATCACCTCTTGAAGAGAAGCATCAATGATTCCAGCCGGCCGGATGACGCTACATTTCCTGGTAAGTTATCACAGTATAGCAAAAACCCCTGCCCCCAATCTGGCCCAGCATTTTATTGGAAATCAGTTAGTTTGATAACTTAGAAGAAATACTTGTTGATTTTGCATAAGTCACAGGGATATGGAGGTGTCTTAAGAAAATACTCAGCAACGTTACCATTCCTTCCCACTAGTTGAATGTTGTAAGTTGCTACAAAAGTTACTGTGGACTCCCAACTTGAGTTTTGTTCTACCTCCCCCTCCCTTTAGGTATATGTAGCATAGGGTAGTGTGGCTTTGTAAAACGTTCTTGCCTTGAGTAAAGACTCATTATTAAAGCTCACACTCTGACTTTACCACTTATTTGTAGATTTTGTTTTTTCCTGTCCATTCTTACTGATTCTCTCTCTCTCTCTCCCTCTCTCCCTCCCTCCCTTCCTCCCTCCCTCTCTCCCTCTCTCACCTCTTTCTCTCTCTCCCCTCTTTCTCTTTCTGTCTCTCTCTGTGTGTCTGTCTCTCTCTCTCTTTCTCTCTCTCCCTCTCTCTTTCTCTCTCTCTCTCTCTTCTTCTACCTTTCCCCCTCCCTCCTCTCTCCTCCTCTCTCTTCCCCCTCCCCCCTCCACAAGTTATTTCACTTTTTATTTATTTATTTTTCTTTGTAAGAAATCTTTGCTCCCTTTAGCGCTATTGGTATTTTACAAATGCAGTTGTTTGCTTTGATCATTTTTTTTTTCTCTTGCTTCTTCTCCATCTGATATGAAAACAGATCAGATCCTAAAAGCTGAGGGAAATGTCTGTAGATGCCCCCACTTCGATAGCTGGTAGTCTCCTGAATCTATGATAATCCTCTCTTTTCCTTTTCTGATTAGAGAATCTCCATTCTCTCTGGGGCAGCGCTCACACTGAGGAATGCTTTCTTGTGTGAGCTGTACTAGTCTGTTGTCCAAATACTAATGGTACTAGTTTCTTAAGTTGGTAAAGGGTACATGGTGCTACTATTATAGCAGCAAAGATTTCCCCCCTTTGTGCTTTAAATGTATATGTAAAAGAGATCTTGGGAGCATTGTAGAGGTTCTCTTGAAAGTATTCATTCTGCTTGTATGGGCAGAGTTTCTTATAAGTCTTTCCTTTTGCATAGTAATGCAGAACTCTGCCTGTGACTGTGCAAGCTGAAGTCATTCGTGACCTTCCTAATCCAATAACCAATTAGATAATAGCTCTATCAAAGCTAATAAAAACTCTTGTTGGAGGCCATCAGGATGGCTCAGTGGGTAGAATACTCATGGGTTTACATCAGGAGACCATGAGGCAACAGAATTGAGATCCTTTGCTGTCCCTGTTCCATTGTTTTATTCCTTGGGCTGTCAATATTGTGAGATACTTCTCCATTAGTTTACTGTGAAAGATTTTGCTGGGATTATTTTCCTTGGAACAGACATCCTTACCCTTTTGTTTATCATAGTAACTGATCCAGAACTCTTTTTTGTTCGTTTGTTTTTGTTTTTTTGAGACAGATATTCTTTGTGTAGCTCTGGCTGTTGTGGAACTCACTCTCTAGACCAGACTGGCCTCGAACTCACAGAGATGCCCCTGCCTCTCTGCCTCCCTGAGTACTGGGATTAAAGGCCTGCACCACCACTGCCCAGCTAGAACTCTGTTTGTATAGATGTGAATAGCAATTTCAGCACTAGCCATTTGCTTTCTTGCTGTTCTTCATCTTTCTCACTAGCTACCTTTTCTAGTTATCCATCGAAAGATACTCCATGGGTTTCTTTACATCAGGAGACCAGAAGGCAACAGAATTGAGATCCTTTGCTGTCCCTGTATAAACTGAATAGTAGATGTTCGGTTGGCAAACTGGAAGTCGTAACACTGGAAGTCATCTTTTGTTTGGTAATGGTTTGTGTACTGAAAAACTAGGCTGGTATAAGTTGTGCAGATACCTTTGTAAATAGTCTTAGGACATTTGGACTTTTTTCCTCATCGTAGTTGGCAGCCTTTAAAAGATTTTAATTCAGGGAAGATGAGACCATCATCATCTTCTTTTCTTTCTTTGAACAGGCGTGGGTATGCGGTATACATGTCTATTTGCTTGTTCTCCTGTATATGTGACCTCGGGATCCCCCTACTGCACCTCGCAAGTGTTGGATTACAGGTGTGTGCCACACCTGCCTGGCTGCTTTTATGTGGGTTCTGGGGATCTGAGCTGCAGTCCTCACAGTTATATGGCATGTGAGCCACCTCCCCAGCCTCCAGATCTGCTTTTTTATTTCCCCCTTTTTGGTTCCTTTGTGTTTTTTTGTTTGTTTTTTGTTTTTTTAAATATTTATTTATTTATTATGTATACAGTATTCTGTCTGCATGTATGCCTACAGACCAGAAGAGGGCACCAAATTTCATTACAGTTGGTTATGAGCCACCATGTGGTTGCCGGGGATTGAACTCAGGGCCTTTGGAAGAGCAGGTAGTGCTCTTAACCGCTGAGCCGTCTCTCCAGCCCCAGATCTGCTTTTGAGGTACTGTAGTATAGTGGAGACATTAGAGAAAGTTATTGGAGTTATTGCAGAAGGCCAGCTGAGGGGGCAAAGGAGGCAGACAGCATGTAGGAGGTGGATAGATAGACCAGAAGGGAACAGAGGAAGAATACCTGACTTCATGTTGAGTTGGCCTAGTTTAGGAGAAAGGAGTCATAAATGACATGAGAAGTCTGACTGGGAGAAATGTGATGGTGACATTTACTAAGATGTTTAAAACATGTAGCTAGTTGTCTAGTAAGATATTGAAGTAAAATATTGTGTAAAAGTTGAATAGATATGTCTGTGGTTATCATACCATCCGCTTATAGATGGAAGCTTTGAGGACAATGAGGTTGTTTATAGATGACGGGAAGAGAAAGAATCCCAGGATTCAAAGAGCATCAATTTTAAGAGACCTTGAAGGGGGAGTCAGAATTAGTGAGACAGATCCAAGTGATTTAGGGGAAAGTAGTCATATGAGTCACCCTTGAATCTCTCTCTCTCTCTCTCTCTCTCTCTCTCTCTCTCTCTCATATAGTGAGAAATTAAATATCAACAACTTAGTAAAGAGTCAGCTATTGGTGAATTTGAATACAATTTCAGTGACATTCTAGAAACAAAAAATGCCCGGTGAGATGGCTGGGTGGTCATGGACAGGCTGCGTTTTCAGGGAGTTGGTGAAAGGGATGAAGCAGTTGATGAGCTCGTGAAGCTAAGGCTCCATCAGGAACCACCGCTCTGTGAAATATTACTCATGGTTTCTCTGTGGCGGGGGAGGAGGGGCTGGTTTCGAGTGCCTGGGCTGGATCATTTTGAGAGATAACTTTGTATTGGAAGGTAGTGCCTCTTGCATTTCAGCTGGAAG